CAACAACAACACCAGCAGCAAGAGCAACAGCAACAACAACAACAACGTTCTTGAAATCTATATAGGTCCTATTGTGTTTGTTTTCGCCCAACTACGGTCACCAGGTCCCATTTTCTTCTACACCGGCAACGAGTCACCGGTGGGTGCCTTGGCAGACACCACACCCAAAGGCATGGCACCGTGACAGGGTATGGCATTGGACCACCTTTTGTGTCATGGCTTTGATATGCTTTGATGGACAGGCAGGCTGTTGTTGAACATGGTATGTCTGAAATTTGTATGACGAGGTTTTGGTCTGCGACTCCATGGAATTCCAATCTCAATGGTTGATAGGTAGGCTTCCAAGTGGGCTGTGTGCTGCGGTTGTTTCACTGAATTGGCAAAAGTCCCACTCGCCTGACAGTACACCAACCTCCTGTTCAGCTGCCTGCAAGTGGGATGTATGATGCTACCGGCCGGACAATTCAAGAGCACGGTCCCTGTTACATTCAATCCGTCGTCCTAGCTAGCTGCTTTGAAGCCCTCGCCAGCTCTATGTCGCCTCATACATCTTGAGCAGCAACCTGATACTGTATTTCAAAACTCTGATTGAGACTCATTGAGAACTGAGAACGTAAACCCACTATTGTATAACAATGCTTTCAAAACTACGCCGCTACGCCTTCAAAGTTTCATCCCCACAGGGCGGGCAAGCCGTCCACCTGAAGAAAACTGGTTTCAAGGTTTATGCCAGTTCCACGTGTTGGTGATACACATGTGTGTGACGATCCAACACTCATGGCCGGTGGAGGCGTCTATGTGAATCAGACGGGCTTGATGTGGGAGCTGGCCCCCTCCTTTGGTGCGTTGATCGTGTTCGCTGAGCATCGTTGTGAGCCCTCCTCGGTGTGGAAGATGTGTGGCCAGCAAGCGGTTGAGGACCCTCAGCTGCTTCAATGACACGCCCAAGACATGAGTCGACCGAGATTCTCCGAGATGTTCGATTTACACGAAACAGGTCTGGGAGGCATCGGTAGTTCGATGGCCGTTAGGATTGGGTTTTGGGGGGGCATCATTGTTCGTCCCCTATCAACAGTCTTGAAGATCCTGGGTGGTTGTGGGCCATGCAGAAGGACTGGTACCTTGGTGAGTTGGTCCCTTTTGTGCTTGTAAAACAACGCGCATAGGGCCTGCCGCATGTGGATTCCGTTCCGGTTTGCAGCAAGGCCTTTGGAATGGTTCCCTTTGTTGGGAAACACTTCACCGGGTGCACCTTTGAGACAGATCATGTTTGGTTGCAAAGAAGGCATTTGGAAGTCGTCCCCTTGAGGGTTCCTGCTAAGCTTTGCCAAACATATTTTTGCGTTTGGCGGACACATGTTCACCCAATGAACACCTTGTAAACACTGAAGGAGCTGGAGGCAGCGCTGGACAGATCGAACATGAAGCAAAAGACACACAAAGCGTAAGCTCGCCTTGGCCGTATTTTTGAGGCTACACCATGTCTATTGTGTTTAGTTTTTGAGGGACGCAAGTGACCTGTCTCCTGTTTTTCCTTTATGTGGCTTGTCTCCACAAGAAGCAGGTAAATAGGTCCGTAGCTTTGCGCAACCGATCCGACGCCGCAAACCGATCCGGCGCCGCATCAGCCTAGCTGCCTTGTCAAAGAACGTTAACACGGAACCTGCACGGAACAGCTGGCCATGGAACGCATGTTTTTCAAACTAACCACGTTGCAAGGCAACGAAAGCTCCGGCATGGCCTGAGCAGAGCTTTTTTCAATGCCTGACAAGATCTGACAAAATAGTGAAGGTATTTCATGCCCGAACTGAAATGGCACACTGACCTTTGGGAGAATCTGTACAGAATATGTTATAGAATATTATAGTTATAGAACTATAAAAGAGCAAAACTGGCTAGTAGCTCCTGGCATCAATACTAGCAACAAGACGCTACTGGGAACAAAGGGCATCGCTCCTGGGAGCAAGGGCGCTACTAGTAGCTCCTGCCATTAGGTTGGCTCGAAGAAAATTGGCTCCAAAGTCCCAACTGCGTCCTCCTCCAAACGGAGGTTGCTGAATTCTCGTGTTTGACTCCGTTCAATCTGCAGTCCTCGTATGTCCTCGTGTAGGTCCTAGGTGTTGTCACTTAAGGTGGGATCGAGCAACAAACACCATGAACCACCGGGCTCATCCAGACGGACTCCAATGATTTAGATTGGCCCCACGCTCCCAGAGTCCGCAGGACTGTGTGGGTTACTGTACCAGCGCTCAAGCTCTGGCCGACTACGCGGCCATCATCGCCGAGCTCCAAGCAACCAGTGGCGGACCGCGAGCCCCGGTGGTAGCCTTTGGGGGCAGCTATGGAGGGATGCCTGGCTGACGGGTGAATGAATGGTGTCCATTTAGGTGAATCCCACTTCCAGTAGTCTAGGGAATTTGTTGCAGGAAATGTGGGGAAAAGATGTTTTGTGCTCGCAATTCCTAAGGATGTTGGCCGGATGGATGCGAATGAAGATGCCGGAGGTCATCGATGGCACCTGGGAGCATTTGACGAGACACATCCGCTCGTGTTCGGCTTGCTGGTACACCAGCCTCGTGGTTTCAATGGTGTTGGTACAACATGTTTAAAACATCAGCAATATCAAGGGTGTGGATGGGGTTCTGAGTATGACTTTGGCTCCAACAAACATGGAAGTGACAACTTCTTCTTGCTTGTATAAAGGGAAATAGCCCCCCCCAAAAATAATTGTATATAAAAGGTTTGACATGGTTAAAATAATGTATAAAAACCTCACGGACAAACAAGTCATCATTGAGTGTGATAAGGAACTCAACCATGATGGAACATGGGATGCTATGGCAAAAAACCAAACTCTTTGGCATCAGCACTGGATGAACTGAACGATACACACACACATAATATATATATACCTAACACAAATCAATCAAGTCAGGATTATTGAACATTGGTGGGATGGAATAAGAAAATGGAAAGGCTAATTAATACGTAACATATTAATTGAATATATTATGAACTAATCCTTAAACCCAAACATAAAAAAACAACGACCTAAACAAATCTGAACCTCATCTTAAAACACGCGATGAGGTGAAAGTTAGGGGCAAAACTGTCCCAAAGGCCCAACAAGTCCCACAGCATAAATCATCGGCAACGCATACACAACGAACAAACACATTAAAACAAAAAACGACACTACAGCCAACAACGAAAATGAGATGCCCCAGCATTCCCCTTTTACGCCACATATTACATTTGTTGTATAGAGGGTACTATAGGAAGGATGGTTATGAACAATTGGCAGATCAACTGTGCTGTCCCCAATGTCAACCCCTTCCACACCAGTGATCAGCAGTACTGTTCGAGGCGCCATTGCTGCATCCGCACCGATTTGGCAGCTGGCAACCACAGTGACGCGCGAAAGCCTTGATTGGCCATACCAGGCAGTCCTGCCTGTGCTTGATGCTTTTTCCGCCACGTTGTTCACATTCAAGTCCTCAAAAGACTTTGAAGGGCTATACCTTACATTTGCGAAGGCATAGCTTTTTCTTCGGCACTTCTTTTGTTCCCTTTCCCCTACTCCACCCATCTCCACCCCTATGCTCCAACCCTACTCCAAGCACATGGGCCGGGGTTGGAGGCCATTACGAGGGGCGTGTCCTCCTTTGGCGGCGCTTCGGAGCGATGCGTTGAGAACCTCCGCGTGGCGTGGCCACTGATCGAAGGGGGCTTGAGCTCGACGTTGGGCTTGAGCTTCTTGGCATGGAAAGTAGGATGGGGGTGAAGTAGGATGGGATGAACATCCCTTTTTTCACCCGTCTTTTTCACCAAAAAGGCCTTTGAACATACATTTAAAAACCAGTGAACAGGAACATGCCCAGTTCAAGGCATCCATAGGCCCTATTGAGAACTGGAGTGTTCAAAGGATGCTGCATTTCTAATCATTTGTATAGTAGAGTAGGGTCATTTGGGTCATGAGTCATCATTCAACTTTTGTGTCTCAAATCCGGTAATTACCAGCACCTCCAACAGGTCACCAATTGAAACCTGTTAGGGTCTTTCCCAACCCTCCATTTCGGAGACCTGTTGGAAGGTGCTAGTAGATGCTGCCGTGGGTTGGCCAACCACGGGACCGTTTCCTGGCCTTCCTGCCTTCGTTGGATGGCACCGTCCGACGGACCACACGGGACGACCAGCGGTCGAAGTGAGGTTTGCTGTCGAAGCGAGTGCACAGCTGTGAGCCGCTGCAGGAGGTGAAGCAATTCACTGCCTGGGCTCAAGAGCTGCTTCAGCTGGAGAAGAGTTGAGAAACAAAATCCGGGTCATGGAACGGTTGTGAAACACAGGCAGGTTTGTCAGGACTGGCTCGGTCTAGTCATCGTCCGCGCGAGCCGGCCCCGAGCTCGGACGAGAACTGTTCGGAATACAAACAGCTGGTGAACTGCACGTCCAACAGAGGTTGAATGACCAGGTACCCCAGTAGGGTCCTATAAGGTCACTTAACCTCTCTTGGTTTTGGGTGGAGCATACGAGTCCACCCACCTGGCAGCGCACGTGCGGACGTTCTTTCCTGTGAAATCTACGTTGATTATATAGATAATAATCCAAGTGGCGCCCATGCCATCCACGTGGTGACATGATTATTTTAGGGAGCGGAAGGAACATTGGAAAAGCGGATTAAACACATTGAGCCATGTTTTTTTCGGTATGGCATGGGGTGTTGACAACAATGTGCAGAACGTTTGGAGACCAGTTCCGGAGAGGTCACATATGCACCAACTTGCCTTTTTGGGGCCAAGGGCTGTTGCTCCATGATGCTCCATGTCGCCCGGCTTGACTTCTCTTGGTCTTTTGTGAGTCATGTCATGGTGTTGCCATGCGCAACCTGACACATGTGCAGGTACAGAAAACACCCATGAATCCTCCACATGGACGATTTGCACCATCCCAATCCACAATGCTTCCGTACCTCTCTACTTAGGCATCTCCCGTCTCCAAGCTGAGGACCTATTTCTTATTGGCGGAAGGCAATTATCCATTCCCCTCGAGTCGCTTCGCAGAACATTTTGGACATCTTGGAGCTTTCGAACGCACGCTGATCGAGGATCCCAAAATGCGGCATAGGGTTCTTTCAGGATCTTTCAAGTGCTCGTGACTGTGGGTGAATTTTAGATTTTAGACCATGTGGAAAAACTCTCTTTTCAATCCATCCCAGCCGCCTGAGATGTCCGAAGGTTACATCCCCACAGCTGTGGGTGAAGGCGGCACCATGCCGGCCTGGCCCATGCGTGTGGCCTGCGAGCCACTCAGCCGGGACTTTGGATTCCGCGTTGAAAGCGGTGAGCTGGAGAAGGTCGGGGGGAGGGGTGTCCGCGGTTCGGGAAACGAGTTTCTAGGTTTGGGGGAGGGTTTTTGGAAGAATGGGCTCGAGATCTCGCGAAGCCAGATGCACCTTCTTCATGGCTTTCTGGCGGTACACTGTTATACACTGTTCTATGGATTTCGGATAGTTTGGGGCGACCTTGTGAGGAAATAGGGCTCTTTAGGTTTAGTTGTGAAGTGATCTTTTGGCAGGCTCAAATCTGGGTGGAGCAGGACCCTATTCGTAGAAGAAGTGGTCTTAAACCTTGAAAGTCCATTTCTGTATTTCAGCCATGCGCAGAAGATGGATATAGAAGTCTAAACAGAACAAGCCTTGCCAAAGGCAATCAGCACCAGTCAGGACTTATCTACGAGCTTTCCATCAGGTTGTGGCTCACCTAACTTGAACATTCCATCAATGTAAGATGGTTTTTTGAGGTGGTCGAGCAGTATTTGGGTGAGAGTCACAGGGGCAGTGCAATGGATTCAAAAGAATCTCTACGTTCAAGTGGAGGAAGATCAGACGCCCTGCTGTGCCGGTGGTGTCACAAAAAGCCGGACGTCTCACTGGATGAATTCCATTGGACGAAGAAGACCACAAGCTTGTTGGAGGAACAGGGTCACAAAGGGGGATGGGTCAAAATTGGGTGCCCTGGATGAATTCCATTTGCCGCGAACGACCTTCCGTCTTTCCGGTCAATCGGTCAGTCTCCTGATTTGGACGGTCAGTCTCCTGAGACTGGTTGAGGATGTTATTCAGGATCAAATCAGCACACATCAGCAGCACGACATTTGCACAGATGAAAGCCACGGATTGCCATAGGGCCATACTGCCCGTCCTTTTCACCGTCGGGGTTAGGCCGAGCTTCAATCAGACTCTGTGGAGAGAGAGAGGGAGAGAGAGAGATAGAGAGTCCATGATCCTGGTGTGTTTGGGGCTGTTCCTTCCGCAAGCCTTTCTTTTTTTTGGGGGGGTGTAACGCTTGAAACAAATCCATTAAAAAAAAACATTTTGGGAATTGAAGGCTTCGGGGCCACTGGGCTGCGGCAGGTGCACTACACCATCCGCATGGGAGATCTCAAGGCGTTTCAGCCCAAACATGCGGCACCGCTATCGGAGCTGTTGGGGTTGCTGGTTGAAGCATGTTTGCCACTTTCCGTCTTTCTAAAAGCGGGTTTCAGGGGATGTATATAGCTGGCCGCATGGATCAAACATTTGCATTTGTCTCAAAACTCCTCGAGAAACTGCGGCTTTGGGGACCTGCAATTGAATCACAAGGGCTCAGACGTGCACACGGCTTGGTATCGAGTTACTCATTCATTGGCTTCATTTGGATCCAGCTGGACCTGGCCACGCGCGCACGTGCCCGCAGGTGACCGTGCATTGGGATCAGCTGCACAGCAACGGCGCCCAACTCAACGAGAAACAGCTGCATGCGTCAGGCATTCTGGAACTGGCAGCAGCACTGGCAGACTCCGTAGCAGTTTGGTACAATGTGACCTGGAAGTTCTGGAAATATATTTTTATATAGTTGTTCGGTGATGTTTGCCGGTTTGTTTGTCTGCTGGTATAGGATTGTAGAGCTGGTTATCGGTTCGTCATTCAGGGCAATTTTCGATGATTCTTGCATGAACTCGTTCTACTCCCCTTAAGGGGCACGGCGCCAAGTTGTTTTACAATGTTTTACATTATTTTACTATTACTTTACTACGTAAGGGTTTTGTGCAGTTTTCGTTATACAACATGTCTCACAGGGGTATCCGTGTGGGATAGCCCAGGCGACCTCCAAAAGAGGCCTTGGGAAAGCCCATTCTGATATGGCCAATGGCTGTGGGTCGAAACTGGGGCACCCGGGTTGATCAGGACCAATGAATAGAACTTCGACTAGGTCAACATATCGGGGAGTCAGGCTCCAGGTATTGACACAAAGCCATATATGTAATACCTGAATGAGGTATGCCCAGAGTCGGGTGCTATTCGACCAAGCGTCCTGGAGCGTCCTTGTACACTTGGTCGATTCATTGCACCACCTCCAACTCCAACGGCTGCGTCTCCTTCGTTCGACCCAAAGACGTCTCACTTGGTGACCTATTAACTCCTGGTGCATTTCATCCAAGGTGAGCAAGACGAAGATGCTCGGATCGGAGGTGATGGAAGGAGGAAGCCTCGGGTGCAACTCCTGGGTTCTCACGCCCAGGACACAGTGGCGCTACTCCGGTGGGAAGACTTTGGTTTAAGGCTGCAAGTTGTAAACACAGTTGTAACTTGGAACGGTACCTCCTTGCAGCTGGGCGCTCATTGCTTGGAGTTCATGGCTAACACATATTATATCCATACAGACATACCTAGAACCGGCCCCTGGCTAGTGCCCTACAAGACCAAGAGGCTGGAGCACTTTGATGAGCTTTTCTGCATCCAGACGTTTGGAGATCTTTTGCCCCAGAGCCCACCCCCCCAACATCCAGCCAGTGATGTGGTTGTCTGGCGGGTTTTGGGTATTTGCAGAACAGCAGTCTGTGACTCCAGGCGGTTGAGGGGATTGGTTCTTATATACATGAACGTATATATTAGGCGGTTGATGAAGAAGAACACCTCCATGATACGATTCCCAATGGGGAAGTTGTGCTAATCAACAGTCTACACTACCAATAGCATGAAGAGGTTGAGACCTGGACTGACTGATCATGACTCTGCCTTTGCTAGCTGAGGACTTGCTGGGACATCCCTGCGGAGCCCTCCTCACCAGCCGCGGCTGAAGGTCCTTGGACGTGGAAACGGCTTGGACGTGGGGCGCGCGCTCTTAAGGGGTAGTCTCTTGCTGTTCCTGGGCATCATCCAGAACATTCCTCCTAATTACTAGTTACATCTAGTCATCTAGTTACGCATTAAGAATACCATCCACTGATTGAGGCTATTTGGGGCACAATGATGTTCAATGCGCATTGGCCTCGCTTGCTTGAGCCCTTGAACCAACAGTTTACCTCTTCAAGAATGCACCGCCGGTTCTTTGATGGGTAGATATTGATCCATTGCTCTTCATTTGTTGGAGAAAGCAGCATGGACTAAAGGCACCAAATGGTTTTTGACATGGGACCATTTGTGCCCAGCTGCTCTTGAGCCAAGCATCCAATGGACCATTCTATGCGTCTCAAGTATCAAGGATGGGCTCAAAGGTGTGATCCACTTCTGTCCCAGGACGTAGACGTTGTTTTCGTTGGACATATTTGTTGTTTTTCGTCTGCGACCGAAACACATGTAATTCCGCTTTTCCGGGGATGGGATTGCGGGGAAGTGTTCCATGTTAACCCTTCTGAGGGCATGTGTCCCTTCTGAGATGTTCAGCCACTCTTTTGACTTTCTTGGTGGATGTGAGTCGCGCGGGTTCGTTTTGATGCTCTCAATGCTGCCGAATGTGGCCCTCAAGATGTGTGTCCCTCAGTACTTGAGGCACTGACGATCAGAGCTTACTGCAGAGCATGAAGGACCGGGGCAGCTTGGCTTGGAGCCGCGATCGGCCACGTTTTGAAGCTTTGAACATCAATCGCGACTCCCGCCACAGAGACTTGGTGGCTGTGCCTGAGCTGCTGCTGCTCGTCGCTTCCTTCCTTGCTTCCTTCCTTCCTTCCTTCAGTCTGAAGTTTATTGAACAAATATTTCTTTCGAATGGACTCTTCAACCCCTGGGGAACGAACAAGTTTGCAGATGGCAAGTAGGCTTGATGAGCATGATGTACAAGCCTGCTGGAACTCATTCCAGGCAGGGGGAAGAGCGTCTGTTTGCGAGGAAGAATCCTCACCCGAGCCCCAAGGCAAATTCACCCTTCGTGGCCCCACAATGGCCCACAACGCAGGTTGTTGCGGCTGCAGTTTGACCATGTTGGCCACCGTTGCTTGCAGGATTGATTAGTGGCGTCCTGAAACAGTGGCGTTCTATCCCTTCCCCTTCCGCTTCATGAGCCAATGGGGACTGGAGACCTGTCGGTCAGGGCCCGTTCAATGCGATATCACGCAAAGTGGCCGCTTGCTACCCGTCAAGCATGGAAACATTTATATACCTGTTTGTCATCAAGTGTGGGAACTGCGGATGCCATATTTGCCTACGTTGGGGTGGTTGAATCAAGGGGTCTTTCGGTAGACTCTAGGAAGCCCGCTTCCTCGGGTCACCAAGGACCACACAGCAGCGATTTCCTTGAAACACCGTGTGCCTCCTGCCCGCCCTGCGCGGAGTGCGGTGGCTGTCCGGTCAGCCGATGCTCTTCGCAGAAGACTTCATGAGACCCAGCTGCGAGCAGCGATCGAACGCAGTGGACGTCCTGAGTTGGAAGTGAGACGGTTTACTGGTTTTCCGCCGCTTCTTTTGTTGATTGCCGGGGTGTCCACCCTAGGGCCCTAGTGTCCACTCTAGTGTCACAGTACGACTCAGGAAGTGCCCGGATGTAGGAATCCCAGGGTCGTACGTATGAAAAAGCCAATTCTGTTCATTTCTGTTCTCCTTTTTCGCGTGCCTCAGATGATTGGAAGTGCGTGGCAGTGTTTTGCATGACGAATATTGAAAACAACACGGACGCAACATGGTTCCACCCCACCATGCTGTTTCCCTTTCTGTTTGAGATGGGCGGAGACAGGTGCCATGACCATTGACTGCAAGGTCTTTCCAAAGCTTGGTCATGTGCTTGGATCACCATTTATTTCATGTGTTATTGTTGACATGTTTGCCGTACAGTGTTATCCCGATTAAGTACATAGTAATTCCTCATGATACATACTGACAATAATGACAACAAATATGCGTATTAACGGCAAGGATTGCGAATGGCTAGAAGCACATGTTGCAAATGTTGGAAATCCCAGCCAGCAAGGCAACTACACAGGCACGCTGCCGAAGACGTTTGCTTGGACGAGTATTGTTTGCACCTTGGATCGCTTGGGACAGCTATTTTCTTACGGCAAGCTCGCATGCCTATGTGGGAACATTATATGAAAACAATTTGACAATGTTGGGAGCAGCGGCCATGTAATGTCAAAAGATGAATGACTCGATGCAGGGTTGACCATGCAATGGTGTGCACAGGAAAGGATGTAAGACCACTTCCATGCGGAAGGCATACCTTTATAGCAAATCTCCATAGCGGCCATGTTCCTGCAGGGTCCATGACCAAGGAAGAGTCGAAAACCAACAGAAACAGGCTCTTCCTGGTTGATTTGCTCGAGCACCGGAGCACTCCGGTGCCCCGGCTCAACTCCGTCGTCTACACCCGGAGTCTTTTACCAGTACTCTGTTGGATGGGGAGGCCATCGCTATGTTGTTGATTGGATGGACCATGATGGGCTTGACTGAGGCAATGAGGATCTGTCGCAGGTGTCGGCCAGGGGCCTGGGCCATGACTTCTATTGGCCTCCTTGGCCTCCGGCGATTCAGAGGAACTACACCGTGCCGGAGACATGCAATTGGAGTTTGGACTTTGGTTGGGGAGGTGGGGAACCACATGAGAACAAACCCCGGGTTGGCGACCGGCTTTTCAAACTGAGAGGATGGTTGGGGGGGAAGTTTTCAGCAGCACCTCCGTCCTTTTTGGGCGTTTGGAGACGGACACACGGAGATGTAGAGCACCCACTGCCGCTGCCTGGCCAATGAGGCGGCCACTTGACACGTGCGTTCCACGCATCGCAATCTTACTTGGTTGGAGGCTATTGCTATTTCAGTGGATTGAGAGTAGATGGCACAAACCCCAAGATTTTTTGGCATAGGGGTGCATATAGAACACCTGTTGGGGATTGTGCCATCTACTCTCAACCCACTATAGGTTGGAGGCGAGGAATAGCACGCCAATTGGTCTGAGTTGGGCAGTTCCCATCGGAGCTTACCACCCGCCAAGCGGCTGACTCAGGTTGCGAGTGTGGTGGGGCCTAAAGGCCTTCAACCAGGCACGTGCGGAAAGGATTTGCAGGACCAGGGACCAGGGCGCTCAGCATTTGCGAGGAGAGTTGAACGACCCCCCTTCATCCCCATGCCATTTTTGGGAAAATGAGCTCAGACTTGGCCTTGAAAGGTGTTGCTACGGAACATCTTCAAGTGACCTCTGAAAGAATGAGTTTGACCCACCAGATTCGAGCACCGTGTTTTTTGGACCTTTTGTTTCTTCCGCTTCCAGGACCAAGGCCTTCGTGGTGCCCCCCATGACAACAGACCTTTGGAGCACCTGGCTCACGGCCTACTACGGCGACCGTGCCAATGCCTCGCAGCACCGAAACATCGTTTGGAGCAACGGGGCTTTGGATCCCTGGTCCGGCATGGGGGTCTATCCGCCGTCCGGCGGGCCCACCGGTCCCATGGTGCAGGCGGGGCGGGTGGTCGAAGACGCGTGGCGTCGAAAGAGGACGCCTTACAGCTTGACCCAGGAGAAGTGATGAAACGTGGACCTTCTACATTACATCCCTTTTCTGGGGAATTGTTTTTTCCACTAATCAAAAACAGATGGATAAGTTGACCTTGATGTCCCAAACAAACTGAGGGTTAGCCTTGTAGCGGACCCTCTGGAGCTTAATGATGGAGTGGGGGGAGTGCTTTCCTCGACCAACGACATGGGATCTGGACACTTCTCCACTGTGCTGCTCTCTGTTCTAGTCGCCGCCAGCTCCCGAACGCGTCCAAACGTCTCTGTCTGAGGAGATGAATGTGGATGGATCTACCATTGCCCTGGTCCTCGATCTGGGTGCTCATCACTTAGATTTAATGTTCTCCGATCCTGCGGATCCCCCGTGCGCGCACGCCGCACGAGAGATTGAGAGACAACGCATCCGCCAGTGGTGCGAGGAGGCTTACCAGGCCCAGGACGACAAAGTCTACGCCTAAAGCGGCGGAGAAAAAGAAACGCTGGAGTCACGGGGTCGCGCATCACCCTGAAGGAAACACTTAAACTTATATACCATCTTATACTTATTGGTCCAAATTGGTTCTGCCTAACGAAACAAAAACGGAAGACCCGCATCAGGCAACATTTCATATAGTGCAACGCCAGTGTGCTCTCATTAATTCGATTAACAACTGCAAGAATATGGCAAGAATATGCAAGAATTGTATATATTTGTGAATCAACCAGAGTTTCCACCAGCAGCTTCCCAGAACATCAAGGACGTCGCAGCCAACACAGCTTAGCCAACTAAGGCCTTCAGCATGTCGCTGGATCAGTTCGAATCCTTCAAAGCCATGTTCCCCAGCCCTGGCCGCTTGGATCCAAAGCCAAGACTGGAGGATTTAGAAGAAACTTGCTGTTGGAAAGAGGTGGCATTGAGGAATGTCAAATGAATAGATGGAATGCTGCATCAGAAGTGCTATCAGGACACCTGAAACGTGCTTAAACATGCAATATGTTGTGTTGATCAAGCTGCATTAAGTCAGTGAATCTTGTCAAAGCAGAGGATGTCCCAACTGCATCCCCTTCCACCAAATCATACCAATACATACCAATACGGTGCCCACCCCCTCTGCTTTTGCACTAGATTCTTTTAAGAGTGAAACATTCTCACCATTTCTCCTGTATGTCCCTATTCATCGTCGTCATCAGGTAGCAACAAAGGTGCATATCCAAAGGAAGCAATTTCAATGACCCACAGTGTGGCCCTCATTGGCAATCAATCACGAGGCAACAATCGGCCGCTTCAGCCGCTGAGAAGTCATCGGCTGGCCAAGAACTCCTTTGAGGAGATACGACGTGTCACTTGAGATTTACGAGTTCTAATTGGACACCAATGAGCTCACTGATTAGAGAATGGCAACAACTTTCCGAGACCAACAAGAAGAACAATCAAAAGGTGAAGACATCTATGAGATAGAACATGCAAATACATGTGTGATGAAAGATTAGGAAGTGAACGTCAGCAAGTTTCAGCCAGATTAAACTAAAGAAACTAGAAAGAAGAACATGTTAATAATACAGTAACATAATTGATAAGAATCATTGCAGGAAAGTCAATGAAAGAAGTTAGCAGGTGTGGGGGCTAGTCAATAATTGATCGCTCCGTTCGTAGCGTCCTTGCTTCTCCTTAGTAGTAAAGCCAGGAGCCCCGGGCCCGTAGCGTCCTTGCCTCCACGGTGGTTAACGGTGGTTAGCCAGCCGGATCCCGATGCGACACGGCGTCCTCAACACATGTAGAAACGAACTGCTTGTCACGGCGATCCGTGTGTTCAGGGGCCAAAACGAGCAAAAAGACATCAGAGCTACTAGGCTTTTTATGGCTTTTGAATGACTTTTTCATTCTTTACTGTTCTTTGTGTGAGAGCTGATGTGGGAGCCACCTTTGATGTTTAAACAGAGGCCAGTTCTGAATTGCCAGCTCAAGCTCTACTTTGTCTTCACCCCCCCAGTTTCCACTACGGTTTTGGCTCGGCCAAGCCGCCAAACCGCTCAGCCAGGATGGCACTCCGAACCATTACGATTTCTACTTAGGCACCGGCGGGTCCACGGGGAGAACACCCGGTGTTGCCGTCTTCGAACTTCCAACAGCAAAAGGACAGACGAGACGTGGCTCAAAACCACTTGGAGTACCACTTGGTGGGGGAGAGGCCACAGCCAGATTTAGCTTGGATGCTGAGATTGGAGAAATCGACCAGAATCATACTAGAATCGTGGACGGAATTATGGGTTTGTGATGCGGCTTGTTCAACAATGAAGTGATGCCACCAAAAAAACTGCCTCATATTGCCTCACTTTGTCAACAGTAATGTTCGCGTTAACCCTTAGTTCTAGAATGCATAGGCATACCGTCCTATGCAGTCAAAATTCTCCCACACATGAAAACCACTGCAGATAGCAAGAGAGCTTGCTATACATGTACCATTGCTGAGGTACCCCACAAAAGGATCCCATCTTGAAAACCGCGAGCGGAGGTTGAGATTATGTTTGTCCCGTGGTCCTTATACCAAATGTTCTTAGCTGCCAAAGAGCTTGCAATGTCAGATATGTGCAGACATTTTTCCCTGGGCCTCCAGGACACTCAGGACACCACCAGCTTTGCGACCCCAAAAACCGGACGAAGCCCACCGAATCGCTCAAACAGAGCGAGCATGCTCTTCGTCAGGTCGACATGAAGCCCGGGATCGACTGCGTCCCGGGGAGGCCAGCGGTTGAATCATGTGCCGGTCCCTGAGGGACACCTAAATGCCTTGGTTGGATTCACCTGCAGATCGTTTGTAATATTTCAAGACACTCCATGTGTGGATATGTTTTGAAGATATGCCTAGCAGCCCAGCATACATTCATCCCAGAAACCACCCCTTCTTGTCGGCATATCATATAAGCAACTGCCAAAACCTCCAATGAAGGCAGCATCACCACAGCGAAGACTAAGTAAGTAAACTGAGGGAAACCTACAGGAACGATAAGGTTCATAAAACAAAGACAAGGTTTTAGTACATGCTGTTAGGTGTGACCAAACCCTCAGGAACGATAAGGTTCACAGAAGAAAAATAACGTTGGGAAGAGTGCGCACTACAACACACAAGAGTTTTTGCCATACATGGATGGTCTTTGGCGAAAGCACCCCCGCTCCAGCGGTCGGAGGAGCCGTTTTTTTTGTGTGTTTTTTCAACGGCATTTTCCGACGAACGGCGTCCAACAAAATCCATCAGTATATATATATATATACTTGAAAAAACAACATCATTGCGTTTGGAATGCTGGAGTTTGGGTGGGGTCTTCCTTGCTCCGAGCATCAAAGCTAAGTACTAAAGTGGCTGCGAAAGGATCGTTCTCAAGCCCTTTCCTTTCATAGAGCCCTGCCTCATCCGCACCGGGCACGGAGTCCGGAGCTGGGGATGTCCGCCTGGGCGCCGCGACAGTTCTTCATTGTGGTGCCCATCGCTGCCACACTTGTGCTGATGTGCGCTGGGGGTACTCAGAGGGGGGAAGACATGACCCATACTCCCGAGATCTCACATCGGTGGTCAGACTTTTCGGGATCCGTGTAAATCAGATGTTTCATTATGTATATTTCCTGGCAATTCCAGGTCCATACATGGAGTGTCGTGTAATGGGTCAATGATGAGACAAGTGTCGTCCCTCAGTGCTAGTCATGTACCGGAGTTGGATGGGACCTGGGGGGCTGGCAGACTCCATGACAAACAGGGATGCCTCAAGAGCATCCCCCCAAAAGTAGTGGTCGAAGCGGAAACTTGTTGACAAATTTTTGCATCAGAGTGTCCCAGGCACTCATTTTCCATCCAGTCAGTTGGGGTCTTCGCCCACACTTATCTGACAATATGTTTTTGCAGTTCCCGCACGGCTGAACAAAAGCAGAGTACTGTAACAGATTCAGATGAACACGGATGAACACCAAAACAGTTGCCTAGTCCGCCCCGCACACACCTTCCTCGCTGAAGGGATGCCTTAGTACGTACCGCTTAGTACGGCGGCGGCTCCCGAACGGGCTGAACGGCTGAACCGCTGAAACCGGGTGGCGCGCTGAACCAGCTCGGGTTGCCCGAGGCCATCATGAGCTCCATCTTGGTCAGAGATTGGGCCGCCACCAAGAAGAGCATCTCTGGGATGGCAGAGATGATCGGCAAGAGCCGCTTTTCGCTGGGATTTGTCGCAAGTCTACCGCGAGTTGGGTCGTTTTGGCGGGTTTGGTTTTTCTGTGCGTGAACAGCGGGATACAGTAAACGTGGCAGAAATCCTACATGGCGATCAGTTGGGGCTGGCATATGATTTGCTGATCAGTTGGCTGGTTGAAAAGGGGTCAATGCGAGACTGAGCATTAAATCATTTCATTGTACCAGTCCCACAGAGTGGTCGGGCCTCTTTTCAATTGGCCTTGCTTACTGGTTGACATCCAATTTGGAATTCTTACCGTTGCAAGTTTGTTACTGTGTGATGCGTTTGGATTGGTTTTGGGAATGTAGTCCTGATTAGCCCCATTTCAACATCACCAAACTGGACTCATTTGGAGGTCCTCCAAGCGCCAGTGGCCGGAGCTATCTTTGTACAGGAGTGTGGCACAACGAAATATACCTCGATCCTCCATGACTGCCTGGCTATCTGAGCCTGAGAATCGATGAGACATATTGTAGCAGGATGTTTCCACATTTTCCACATATGTCCACTAAACCACTCGAGACAAGTCAGCCTGGCAGTCATGTAGACTTGTAGACGGTTGATTGATAAATCCCCATTTGGAGTGTAACTGTAACACCTGTTGTTTTTTTTTTGTGTGTGTGTGGGTGGGGGGGTGTAGAGAATCAACCGTTTATATTCGGTAGGGATTCACATACCTTCTCTCAGAAGGTACGACTGGACCCTCCCGGCACCTTACACACAAGGAGTCTGCAATCACCTCACATACAAGATCTATATAACCCTAGGGATAGTCTTACATAGTCTTCCTCAGATACCTTAGATACCTCCTCAGATCTAATCCCTCAGAGAGTATGCCCTATCCGGCTTAGACCCGTGCCTCGCCTCGCGTCACGAACGAACTCGCCTCCGAGGTTCGGGCAATCGTGCGTGACCGGTCTCGCCGCTGCGCCATGTGGTGCGAAGCATGAAGACCAGGCCTGCGTGTTCTTAAAGCACTGGTTCACCTCAGCCTGCGTGAAAGGCGCACAAGAACAAAAATTCAATCAAACAAACTTGCAGGCTTCCAGATGTAAGGCTACACCTTCACATCGAACTTTCCAGCAAAGATTCTTAGCCAAATGCACTGACTTGCTGGGTGCTTCTACCCAGCCGCTCCATGGACCTTGTGAATAGGAGGGAGGGAGTTTTCGACGATGATGTCCCTCATGGAGGGGTTGTTAGCCCGCGTTCGCCTTGATGAATGGCTTGCGTCGTTTGCAGTGCCATGTCCAATTGATGCCCACCACCATTTTTTCCGCAATTTTTCACCTCACAAAGGGGTGACCAGGCGTGGGCGGCAACCTCTTCCGATCGATTTTTTTTGTCAGCCAAAGATTGCCAGCCAAGCCCGCGAGAGTGGCGAAGACGAATTTTCCTCTTTGCTGGTCTGGTGTTGGTGGGTTATTCAGTGATATTCAGTGTGGACTGAACATGGAATGACGGTAATCATTATAGTTATATATAGTTATATAATATTGTATAGTTTTATGTAATATGATGTATTGTATAGGGATTTCATGGGTATGAAGCTGAACATCCTATATTTGACTTCTCCAGGAATCAGGCAGGGGCCGGCCTTTTTGTTTGGTGTACCGGAGGGAAGAGATGCCCTGTCCGACCGCGGCGGCGGGCTTAGAAAGATGCCCGGTGCATACAAAAGGGTAGAACAGATGTAGAAAGAAGACGTTGCTTATCGTTGCGCCCTCAACTTTACTTGGCGTAGAGTCGTGGACATCGAGAAAGCACTGAGCTTTCCCACTCACTCGTGCCAGTGAGTGGGAGAGTGGATTGATCCAGGGACGGACATACCGATACCACCACATTGCACATAGCTGCAAGCTAATGCTAGCTGAACTTCGGCACTCCCACCAGTGCCCACTTGATCAGTTGTTCCTGAATGGTGATAGTCATGTGACTTCGTTGCAGCTCGCAACCGTTCACGCTCTCCGCTGTGGGAACGGTTCACGTCCCGGTCCCTCCTGATGCATCCTTTTTGGCGTCCTACGTACCTGCAGGACTTGGCAGGTTGAAAGAGGTCTCCCCAAAAGGCAGAGCATGGTTCACCAAAAGTGATGTCCCATTGCAGACCGAATGTCTCCAGAGTGTATGTGCGCGGTGTGTGTGTGTGTGTGTTTGTAATTACTGTAGTTGTTTGTATTTCTGTTATTCATCAGAGACCGCACAACACCCCAAATCGCTCTTTCGTATGGCTTGTTGCTAAGACTGCTGTCAAGACCGTTTGCATGGGATCAAAAAGGCGCGACCGTGATGCACAGCACGAACCCGGCAGCCAGAAGGAGCGAGTTCGCTCGCTTCTTTTGCTTTTTTTGCACAGCATCACTGGTGAATCCTCGCAATCAGATCGAAGCATGGTCCTCGAAGCTTCATGTTTCAAGAACCCTGCCACATGGGACATGACTTGTGAATTTCTCATGGGTCCAGCGGGTCCAGGTGAAGTCGAGGGGTGATCAGAATATATTAGACTCCATCCATCCTATGCTCAATTTGCTTTCGTCTGGCAGATCACCAGTCAGATCACCAGTGGAAAACCACCATAGATCACGGACTCAGACTCCACCGGACCGGGCAACGCCTCGTTTCGCCCCACCGTGGAGCGTTCCACCGCAGGTCCTGGCGCGTCATCGATGAGGTGGAGGCGCGGAAGCTCCGCGGATCCACCGGTCCAACGACCAGTGACCAAGTGTGTACAGAAACGTTCTAATTGAATTCTAGTTGTTTCTACTAGTTACTAGCTTCTTGTTACTACTAGTAAGGCACTTGTTACTAGAAGCGAGGCACTTGTTACTAGTAGCGAACATTGTTCCTAGTAGCTTCTTGTTCCTTGTTTGGAGAAGGGGAGTTTTGCGGGCTTGGCGAGACAACCCACCGCCCCAAACAGCTGCAGCGCAGAAACTGTGTTGCAATGACAGACAACAAACCGTGATACTGACAATCTCAATTACTCACCTGGTGTTGTACAGTCGTCTAAAATCCTTAGTGAATCAATTGGTCGTTTGGAAGGGCTATAAAATCAATCGTGGTTGGAAGGCCAACAAGCGGCAAAACGAAACAACACCACGACAGATGTAATCCTTGACAACGCATGATGATGGGGGTAGCTCGAGGAGAACTTTTGTTGATGGGGAAGGGGATGGAAGAGGAAGTCTCTTCGGGAGTGCTGTTTTTCCCCTAATTACCTGACAGGGTTGGGGTAGACAACCCACCCTATCGTGTCCACCGCTGCTGCGACGCCTGCAACGCATCACCTAGTGCAATGACAAACATAACAACAAACAACAAACCATCACACTGACACGCAAGGCACAATGCCACTACTAAACAGAAGTTCCAGACAAGGAATTACACATACAACGTCATTCAACACAGTGACAACACTAAGCACAATCACATCACATCCTGCCAGTGGCCCGACATGACAGCAGACAGCAAGCTTTGACACACACACACACACAATGGAAACATGAAAGAAACATAAAGAAACCACAACACACAACACCTGACAATACATAAGGACAAACACTACAACAGACCGCAGGCAATGACATATACACAATGGCACGACCAGACATAACAACAACACATGCAATGCTTGACAACACGCCTGGGCAAACACGACAGCAGACAGCAAGCAATGACACACATAATGATAACACCACACAACACCCCGTGGCCGAGGTGTCCCTCCAACCCAGCTATCCGGGCCAGTGTCCCTTCTCGCCCGGTCCGGGAGACCTTCCTTTGAGGCATCTCGAAGTTGATTTCAGAAGATGTTTCCGCAAGCCGCTTCTGGCCACCGACATTCGCTTGTGGTGTCCGGCCTCTCCACCCTCGGTTTCGCCTGGCAGGAGCCGAGCCACGTCCCTGAGCCATGTCACGACGTGGCGAAGGAGGCGCCGCTGGAGGCGAAGGTGCCACAGTGGCCACTGGGCGAGCAGATTCCGATGTGGAAGGAAACCTAAGCAATAGATGAGGATGCCTACTTAGGTTCCAGAGTTGTTTTTCACATGCCTAGTAAGTATGGCTGGTTGGGTCATGTTGGTTTTATGTTTCCTATTGAGGCCTCCAGCTCAAGAGAGAGACACAAACACACACACATATATATATATATATTTGTCTAATGTAGTTATAGATATAGTAGATAAGCAAACAACAAATGACATAACCGATATACATGTATACTTTATACATTATATACATAATTTGTATAAATGCACACATTTGAGAATCTATTGGATGCAATCAATGCCCGTAAAGGTCATGCAGGACACAGGGTTCACTCCTGACAAATAGTGGCTCCAAGATTGAGGAGGCAGAGTTGGTAGTTCCCTGTGGTTCCCAGTTGGTGCAGCTTTGGCGTTGCCAGCTGGTTCGACTGGGGAATGCCCTCCAAGCCTCGACTGTACTGTGCCCTCCAACAAACATGGTTTCGTGGACAACTGCCGTGCTTGTAGAAGGAACATGGGTCTTTTCGGGGGCCATGCCATCCACTTCCAGGATTGTTTCAGGGAGTGTAATTGCTGTGTTGGGAAGCCAGGCGGGGAGACTGTGTGAAAGGTGAATGGAGCACCCTCCAGCCAGCAAGGTGCTCTGGCATGGTACTAGACATAGGGCTGCAATGCCAAAGGAGGACCGTGTGAGGATTACTCTTATATATGTACAGTATGTGTGTGTGTGTGTCTTTTTTTTAAATCTTTCACGGACCGAAGGACTTTGCCCAGACACCTTGGTTTGAGACATTGCCCCAAAACCTTGCTAAACCTTGCTCCAAAGCACGTGTATGGCCTATGTTCGTTCATCTCTTTTCATGACGGACCTTACCTGTCATGTATGGGCTTTATTGGTCTTAGGTTGGAGGCCATTGCTAGTAGGTTGGAGGCCATTGCTAGCTGGGTGCAGGCCATTGCTAGTAGGTTGGAGGCCATTGCCAATTGCTAGTATATAGGTTAGAGGCCATTGCTAGTGCTGGTAGGTTTGTTTCACAAGTCTACATGAATTCTTCGGCACCGAACCATTGAGGTTTTGTGCGTGTGGCTAGGCCGTTGTGGCTGGGCCGTTGGAGGGCCCTGTGATTGGCATGCGAAGAGGAGCACGAAGACCGTGCATCGGGGCAGGATGCCGTTTGGTTTGCGTGTTTTGAGCAAAGGAGTCTTTAGGCATCAGAGAGGGGGAGAGGAGTCGTTTGGCTGCAACGAGGAGGTCTATATACATATATGCTCAGAAAATGTAGGTTTACACGCACTCTATATATATATATGATATGCATACCTCTTTCTCTCCCCCTCTCAATCCAACTCTCTGAGAGGGGGCGTGTTATTCTACCAGACATATCAACATTTGGTACTGCTGATTATAGATGTTCATGCATTATGTTTGTGAAATAGGGTTAATTTAGTTATCCTTGCGCAGTGTTAGGCCTCAAGACATGTTCGTTGTTGTTTTTGTCACGTCCAAGTCTTTTCAAGACCGGAGCCACAACGGTTGTCGCCTACCTCAGCAACGGCATCGGCAAATGCACGGGCCTCACTGCTGTTCCAGGCACCATTTGCAGTTGTGACAAGAAAAGATGCTCGGGGTGTCAAGTTTTGGCTTGACACATTCTAAGTTGAACAGCACAGAGACCAACCCGGCTACCCTTTTTGGCCTGCTGACGTGAATTTGAATCTTGCTCAACATCTAGATGCTTCTGAACAAAGCAAGAGCAGAACAAACAAGCCAAATTAAGTACAGAAATCTATATGAATGCTAAAAGAGCACGGATGATTTTCCATCATTTTTGCCGACGTTTATGCTGGCACTTCGAAACAGAGAATCCTTGGGGGTGTCGGGCTCACAGCTGGGGCAGAAGCCCGTCTTCTGCGGCGCTTCTGCGAAGGAAGCGCCGCAGTCAATGTAGCGGGGGCCATGCTGCGGTGGTACTGGGCTTTGTGGCTGGCAGCCGCACGTGGCGCGACACCCTATGCGACACCGCAGCTGAGAGGTGGGAGAGAGAGGGCTGGTGGAAGATGGAGTTTGGTTGAGGATGTTGGAGCGACATGACACTTTAAACATGTCTGGACAGTGGGATGTCCAAACATGTCTACAGAAGCAGGGCGGAAGGGTTTTGAGGTTTGATGTTTATACACTTCCCCACTTGAAAGGGGTGCGTGTGGAAGACCTTTTTCGGGCTTCCATGCGATCCCGGCAAACTTCTGATCGATTGTTATTCAATTATGAGGCGAAGGGAAGCAAACATGAAAAGTGTGAGAGTGTTCTGGTGGGTGGGACAATGACGCGAGAACACATTCTCAACCCAATGCGGACCTCCAACACTGGACGTGGATGAGCCCCCAACCCCCAAAAAGGACCCTTTGGTCCATTGGTTCATGATGGGATCCTTGTTGCGTGAGCCAGCATGGACGTGCATGAGCTGGCTCATTTTGCTCATTATCGTTGCCTCGTGCCTTTTCGTGAAGAGTGGAGCCACTCCCAGGCAGATGATTCAGGGAATGTATTTTCCAAGCCTTCTTCTAGACCGGGTCATTTATCCGACCGCCCGACCGCACCATTTTAGTAAATTTCTCTGGACAACATGTGTCAACCGCGAGGACCGGTACATGTGTTCTAGTACCATGTTGTCTCGTGCATCTTTGGTCAGGATTTGGCCTGATCGACGTGCAAGAGATTGGACTTGGTCTGGCTGCTCGAAACCTGTCGGCCATCCAAAAGGTGGGATCATTGTCTGTGGGATTGTCACGTTTCATCCTGCAACACCACCTGGGCCCATGAAAGTTCTCACTGTGATTCTGATGCATGAAGAAGGTCAATATCTCACCATAATTCTGATGCATGAAGGAGGTGAGTTGCTCATGTCTCGACATGCGACATGACTTTTGGTGAGTTCCTCTTTCACTAACACCTCGAGGGGGAGCGTATTTTTGTGAGTCACAGTCGCCTTTACACTTTACACAAGAATACAAACTGGTGAGCTTTGCAGAAAACTGCCACATGGATGAACTCTCTGAGGGGTTAGGCAGAAAAAGCAATTGTGAACGCCCACGCCCTTGGAAGGTGCTGATTACGGTGGCAAACAGTTCCAATGGAACAGAAGAGGTCCTGACTCTTGGCTAACGTGGATGGGCTGGAACTCGGACTGTTTATGTAGGACATTCCTTGTTGGGGAGGAACTTCCTTGACGACCTTCTCACCATTTCGATGAGTTTGGATGACTCGGAATTGTGCGACAGATCTTCTCGTGCAGCGACCAGGAATGTGTTTACTGCAGTGCCTTTTTAAAGCCTCGAAAATACACCACCTGCCCCGGGAGGAGCACCAAGTACAGGTTCTGTGATGGCGCCTTTAAGTCCCTGAGGTTGTTTGAATGGTCCTTTTTTTAAAGGTGATTTTCAGAGTAGATGGCACAATGCCCCGAAGGTGGTTTATATGGACCCCATCTTGGGGCTTGTGTCATCTACTCTGAAGCCACTCTAATGTCACCCCTACCGGGAATAATTCCATCCTAATGATGCATGCTGCATACTAGTTAGGTCGGTTGAAGCCATTTTTTCTGGCAAATGTTGGGTTTTGATGGATTCCCTCTTCACTCAGTACTGCTTTGTATGGTGACTGTGCTTCAAAACACCCTGGGAAGCTGGTTCTTATGATTCTTGGAGCCACTTAAACCTGGACTCTTTGGTGTTTTACCTTGTTTCACCCATGGCGATCAAGCGCCTTCATGAGGCATGAAATGGAAGAGATCGTGAATGAGACCTTGGAGCCTTCTGTGAAGAGGGACTTCGAGATGGCACAGTTTGAGATCATTGAATTTCACACACTTTTCTTGATCCTCGCATTCAAAAGAACTAACAGGACCAGGTGTTTTCTACGAGGGAGCGGCGGACTGTAGGGGGATATCTTGTTCCTCTCAGCGGAGCACAATCCAAATTGGTTGACACGATTTTGCGGGCCTCCTTGAAGCATGTATATTAATGGCTGTCCCTTTGAGCAGTGTCTTCCGCGATCTGTTCGGACCTTTTAGTGTTACCCGACCCCGCCTGGACGGAGCGAACCAGACCTATGCGGTGACCACAACAAATATCGCCATGCTGGCCTGGGAGTGTTGAATTGGAAGAAAGAACTTCGCAAGAGGAGGGTCAGCTGGGTCAGTCGCGGCCCTACAAGAAGTACTCGTACCATCGCAAGCGCTGAGAAAGAACTGGCCTGGCGCAGGACAGTTCTTTCCCAAAAGTGTTCCTGGTTTTGGAGTGGTGGGGCCGATGGCTTTAAGATTGTTTCTGTTGGCACCCCATTCCTCGGCCTTGCGGCTGGCTGAGGAAGTGCGAGGAGGATCAGCACGAGGCATTGAGCCAATCCGCTACTCGAGCAATAGAAAGGAGGAATGGGATACAGATCGAACAAACCTGTCGTAGGATACGATGCATCCTGTAAGAATTTGACAGGAGCCACCGGATGCTGAGCCAATCTATATACTGTAAGTTATTTCACTTGATCCATGAAACTATGAGTCGGTGATCCACCGATTTGGATCCTGATCCAGCCCTCGTTTCCATCTAAGGCCTCTCAGCAAAAGCAGATCATTCACTTGGCAGATGAGCATTTGATGTGTCGGAAGCACCTGGTGCTTCTCATGGATGCGAGTCGGCCACTTGATCGCCTCGAGAGGGTGGGTTTCCCCGAGCTACCGAGAGGGTGGCGTTTCTGAAATGGTTGGCAGGTCTGTGAGAGGGCCATTGACAGGAACTCGGTTGTTGCAGGAATTAGATCGAGTAGATGAAGAAAACAATCATATTCAGGGAGAAGGAGATGGAGAGGGAGAGAGATAGAGAGAGAGAGAGAGAGACAGAGAGAGACAGACTGACTGAGACTTCGCAAGATCGGCGTCCAGCATTTGAGGTCCTGCGAAACCCTGCAGCAAGCAGCTCGGACAGTGGTGGATGCGAGATGTGCTTTAGAGCACAGTTCGACGCTTGAGCTGTACTGGAAAAGTGGGTGATGAGAGATGATGAGAGTGTTGGGAACTGGGGACATGTTACCTTTGACCTTCAGTGAAATTTTGTCTCCATGGCTGCTGTGGTGTTTGGAGATTCAATCAGAGCCCCAACTGACGGCCTTTATGTTCATACCTTCGAAAGCCATTGAACAATATTGAACACTAGTCACTAGCCTTGAAATAACAGACCTCCGAAAGACTAGGTTCATGCTGCATGCATGCTCATCTATTGTCCAAGATTGAAAATTGCCATGTCAGTTTAAGACTATTGGAGATATCTATATGAGTTATATGAATATATGGAGATCGGACGCTACGAACGGGGCTGCTGGTGGAACCATCTCCCCAGCCTCGCGGCCTCGCTTCAGGGCGATCCCGGATGTCACGGCGTGTCATGCCTGGCCGGATGAGGATCCGGAGGCTGGCGGAGCGGGTTCTGACGGTGTAGAGGCTTCGGAGAGGATCTGACGGTGTAGAGGCTTTGTTTTGTTCTTTTTTGAGTTTTGTACCTTTTTGTACCTTCACTGAACCACTAGACACCGTCATGTTTTGCCAGTAGATAATTCTTCAGATGTGAAGGTGGTGTTGTAGCCACTTGCTAGGACCTTTGCCTTGGCCTGAAACAGCAGCAGCAGGGGAACGTAGGTGTCATTCTCTGGTTGCATCAGGGAGTGCCAGGCTCGCACGGGCATAGATCCAACCAAGCAGGAGAAGCCAAATTGGCTGGATTGTACTGCTGTCAATGGACAAGGTGAGAAGATAACAGCGCATGTTTGCGCTGTTCACTTTGGATGTTCAGGTTCATTACCCTGTCAGACTTGTGCCAATTCGCAGCAAGCAGTGCTGCTGCTTTGAACAGCAAGCGGCCCTGGGTTTCGTGGAGCAAACGCCCATTTCTTCGCTCGTGGACCGTGGACACCACCGAAACCGTTTTCCGTTTCCGGGTGTTCCACCCGGGCGGCTTCCGTGGATGTTGAGGCATACCATGAACGAAAGATCAAGGACGCGGTGGGATGCATGGGGGTGTGGCATGGTGTGGCAGTCCGGTCAGACATGGCTAGACATGGCAAGACATGGCAGCCATGCACTTAGCACTGCAGCCATGCAACTAGCTCAAATATTTGGTCGCCTTGGAAACCTCATACTGAAATACTGTAGCAGAAGGTGCCATGTTGAGGTCATATCATGTTATATTGAGATTGTTATACACAGTATTGAGATTTCTTACATACAGCAAGTCTTGAAAAGACAGGGGGTTGCCAAGGGATGGCTGGGATTGCTGAGAAGATTCAGGGCAGTGCAGGTGAAAGAAGAGACTTGTTAGCCATTCCCTTGGAGCGAATGATGGTGAATGATCATCCACGATACAAAGAGGCGAGTTTACCAAGGTTTCATTTTTCCACGTTGAAATATGCTGTTTGCCAAAAGATTGATGACAAGCCGCAACGTGTGTCCATTGCAACTTTGAGCTGATGCATTGTTGGTGTTTGCTTTGGCTTGCTCATGTGCAGAAGCATGTTCCAGGCCACAAGGGGGAAGCGACCAAGCTATACCAAGCTTGCCTGTCTATTTTCATGCTTTTTCATGCTTTTTCCACCTTAGCCCAGGAACGACCAGATGGTTCCCCTTGGGCTCGGCAGGCAGACTAAAGGCCGAAGAGGTTGAGCTTGTTTCGGGCACCCCACGTCCTACACGCGGACCGCATGCGGAGCGCAGAGTCTCCACGTTCTACACCTGGAAGAGGGAATCAGACACAACGCCCTTGGAAGACCCTGAGATCCTCTCCTGCCTCCCGCTCCTTTTTTTCCCCTTTTGCATGGCCAAGCACTCTCCTGTGGTCTCTGCGACCTGCCGAGCTCGACGGGCGCACATGTGCGGGGCGACACGGCGAGGATTTTGAAGCGAGCCTGGCGCAGATCCTGGAGAGGAAGAAGGCATGTGAGGAGGCCACCCAGCGGGCTGAACAGAACATCATCCCAAGCGACCCCGGAGCTATGCTTTGCAAGGACACCGAACTGGCACTCCCAACTGGCGAAGACTGATTGACGATGCCCAGGACATCAGACCACCACTCGATGAGGTTTGACATGTCCCAAGGCACCATGACTGCTGTGGGGTATACCTCAAACTAAGTCAGTCCTTACCACAATTTCCATATATTAATGTCCATGAATTTCCATCAATTTCCTGCGATGTGTTGTTTTGAGTGATGAGATGAAAGGTTCGGTTGCCGTTCCGACCCCCTCAAGATGCCTGTCGCTGCTGGAATGAGAATATCATTCCCCTGGTGCCCACCGGGCCCTACCGATGTTGACTGCTACTGCTAGTTGATGCTTGGTTTAGTTTTAGGAAGAAAAGCACCTGCACATTAACTGGGACAGAACACAATGCCGCAATGCCCACCTGTTGGTGCAGCCCGTTGAGTCTTGTCAGTCCGCAGTGGGCAGAGATTTTGATCGAACCAAAAAACCATCCAAAAACAACTCTTTGGTTTCGACCACCTTCCGAAAGGCAAGCAGGAAGTACTGAGGGCCGCTCCGGCGTTCAGGGTCGAGGGCCCGGAAAGCAGCCAGGCCAAGGCCGAGGTCGTTGCCCAAGAAGCACGATGTCACTTGGCGCATCCATATCGTGACATCGGGAAAGGTTGGAGATAGTGAAACAGGAACCTGAAACTGTTTCTTGAGCATGTTTAAACATGCTTTAGGTAAATGGTAAATTCCTATCAGTCTGGTCAACTCATCCTCGGCTATCCGGGTAACCACTCCACTTGGGAAATTGGGCCGCCACACCCAACCACTCCAAGCAGCGCATGCGCATGTCCGCAGGTTCGAAAGCTGCTCAGGAATTGATCAACGGCCACCAGGAGCAGCTGCAGTTTGATCCTCACTGATCAGCAATTGAAGTTTGCCTCAAAGTCTATAGGAACCAAATGAGTAGTGCGTGAGCACCGTGAGCTATCCTGCGTTGATACTAGATGATACTAGTAGCTACTTAAGCTATCTTAAGCTTAGCCACCTCTTGCGGCCTACCCCCACCCCCGGCGCTAAAAATAAAGAAGTCAAACAACACAGGCTGCCAGGCGGGACAGGTTTTTTTCCGCATGCCAATGCGTGGACCGCAGATGTACCACGAGGAAGCCGTTTCCTCCGATTCTTCGGACTGGCCACCGGTCTTGAGCTGCAAGACACTGATGGTGGTTTGTGTGTTGATGGTGGGTTGAGATGAAGTTATTATTTGTTTTATTTCATTGTTCGGTGGGGTGGTCACGTGGCAAGAACCAAACGTCAGCTTTCCACCCCTCCAAGCGAATTGTCCAATTCAGATTGAACAGTAAATCCCTGAAAGTCATCCGGAGCAACCAAGGCAGCAACCGAAAACCACCCGCCACGAGCCCTCTCTACTGTCCACAATGGTCTCCCTTGAAGATTTTACTGGTCATGCTAGGAGTGCGATGAGAAGCAGCTACGCTTGGACAGCACCCTGGCTCTCAGACTGGAGGGGAGGTTCTCGTAGATAGCCTGGGGATGCCCGGGGTGTTACTGTAGTTGATTTACTGAATTCGATTTGTATAGATTATATAGATGTTTTGGGGAAGCCATATCAATCACCACACGATTTGAGCCCGTCAATCTCCCACTGATCATCACTGACCTCCTTCACTGGAAGGGAAGCAAGAACATTTGGATCCTGGTGACCGTAGGCCTAGTAGTCCTGGTGACCGGCCCAGTAGGCTTGCTCCTGCCGTTGACTTGATTCGTGCGTCTGCCGTTGACTTCCGCGTGGGTCTGAACGGCGCCGCTGAACGCCCGCTGAACGCCCGCAGAACGCCCCGCGTTTCGCACCAAGGCGCCGTGTGCGCCTTACAATCCCACATGGCCACCAGCTGCGAAGGCTACCGCACCTGCCGTTCCGCAGCCTTGAGCGGCGTGCGCTCCGTGAACGCCACCGTGGCCTGGAGCGAGTTGGGACGGACCGGGTGAGGAGGAGAAAGCAATCACTTGTTGGGGGTTGCTTGGGGATGTGTGCTGTTTGGGGGGGTCAGGAATTCGAGCTTGTATGTGTGGAAGATCGTGTTTGACGTGTTGCTGGAGGTGTGGACAAGCCAGGAAAGTAGATTCAGTTCTGAAGTGTTGTTCTGGATTAACTACGTTATCGCTAGGTTACAGGTCGATATGATTGAACCTAATTTAAGTAATTGGCTTTTTTTCCTGCAGGTTCGCAATGGCTGGCAAGTGCTGTGCGAACTGGGCGGTGTACATGATGTAAGGTTCTTGAGCCCCAAGGTAGTGAGAGACTATGCCAGATGCCAAATACAGTGCTTTGGGTGCTGTACTACAGTACCCACTGTGCATGTAGTCCACTATCATAAGCTGGTGATGCTTGATGCATGTTTGTTCCTGGTGTTGATGTGTTTCAGCTTAATTCCTTTAACATCAGAAGCCCTTGCCAAACTGTAAGACCCAACATGCTTCACGAAGCCAACCACCCGCAGATCGCGGGATCCAGACCAGCAGGGAGACTTGCTGTTTTTAGACGCCGTCTTACTCTCTTTTTGTTTCTTGGTTGACCCGGATCCACCGGATCCACCATCCAGATCCACCGGATCCTGCATGTTCCCCCCCCTTCCGCCCTGTTCATCACGCGGGCATCGTCAGGTGCAGAGCGCCGAAGCAGAAGTCCAGGCCACCTGGACCCTGCTCACCAAGGCGCGCGGAGGCGAGCGAGCGCGGAGGCGGTGGTGGAACATGGTGGGACATGGTGGGACGGTGCCGAACAAAGACAGATCATGACAGATCTTTTATGGACCCTGCATTCCATACCAACACAGCTCCACACAGCTCCAGCCAGGGCTTCTCTAAAGGTGCTCCTAGCCACTCTTGCCTTAAGTAATTATTCCTGGGTATGTGGGCATATGGGGAGTCTAAGGTGCCATGACATATGATTTGTTTTTCTGCAGTTCGGCCCCACACTGGTGCTTCTGGAGTTCGGCCCAGCTTTTGGAGTTCGTTTCGAGCCCGGCACCTTTGAAAGAAGTGGGATCAAATGGACATATGATATTTGGCCGTGGACCCAAAAGCAGGAGACAGGAGACCCCGGTTGACCAAAAGAAGGTCCTTCACGATGGACTGGTCGGGCTCCAGGTGGGTCACGACCCATATCCCCATAGAGTCGACCCCATGTGGTTTTCCAGGTCACTGGTCTCGTTCGTGTGTCTTCCACAGCATCCGCGACAGCATCCCAGGTGCGCTGCATGATCGAGGGTGCTCAGCAGAAGAACGTTTCGAAGGTTCAGATGTGTCTGGAGCAAACGAACGTCAGCCTCAAGAATCTCACCATCAACTACACCACGGTGTCTCAGAGCATGGATTGCTGCGGATTGCTGGTGGATTGTTTGCGGCTCAATTGCTTCTTTTCTGGTGGCACACCAATACCATCCGGCAGTTATATGCCCCCATCCACGGTATTAATAACGATGGTTGGATGTTCGAAAAGCATTGATGCGATTCACCAGTTTGTGAGCTTTTAATCCAAGTGGCGTGGATTGCAAGCCGTGAGCGGTATATAACAGAAAGGATTCATAAGGATCGACCACCGGAAGATGAACAAATGTAGGCCCTGCAAAAAAGATATGGGTTTATGTAGACGGGTCCGTTTCAGTCATTCTAGGTACTAATTATATGCAACATTATGTAAATTAACAAGCTAAGTTTGCCATGGAGGTAGGATAGGATAGGATAGGACAGGATAGATAGGATAGATTTGTGTCTGCCTGCCAGATCCCTTTATTCTAGAAGTTTACCATCTTGAAAAAAAGCAAACAAAAAGCAACAAAAAGCAATCACAAAATGCAACCAGAAAAAACAAAAGCAATCACAAAAGCAAAAACAGAGCCAAAAAAAACAACCCCAAAATGCAACCAGAAAAACAAAAGCAATCACAAAAACTGACAAAACAAAAGCAAACAAAATTGCAAGCAAAAATGGAACAGCTCAGCCGGGCTTTCTGGGGTAACTTGCGCCATCTACTTTCAATCGACTTTAAATACACAACAATCCTTCGCGTTCGATGTGGCTTCAGGTGCCTGCCGTCACGCCCTGCCAGACTTTGGTCGAAGCGCCCGGGTCCCCTGACTACATGGAGGCCCTGTACGGACACGTGCCCAAGCGCCTCGGTCGGCGAGCTGGCTGAGTCTCGGGGGGGACGCCTTGTGGGGGGACGTCTCGTGGATTGAGATGGATTGAGAGTAGAGGGCACAGGAGGTTTATATAAGCCACTCTCTAAGACATCTCGGGGTGCCATCGTGCCATCTATCTACTCGTTCTATAGTGTTTGCGGCGGCATTTTGTGTGTGTGTGTGTGTGCTGTTCTTTCTTCACACCCTCCACGATGGACTTTTTGGTGCGGGAAAAGAAACCCGGCCACTGAAGAGAGCACCCAGCTCGCCCAGGAGAGCACCAGCCTCTGCATGCCAAGCATCCTGCTGCCACTGACATTCTTTGCCGAGCTCTGGCTTGGCTGCTCAGTCGATTTTCGCAGCTCGCGGATCAAAAAAGCAGCAGCAGAAGAGGCAGAGAACGCGGGATGGAGGCAGAGAAGGCTGGACGAGGGTTCTGGAGCAAGGAGTTCTGGTGATTCTTAGATATCTTAGATAGCATCGGCAACTCACCTTGTTTTCACTCATCGCAGGGCTCATCTTTGTGACTTTAGAACATCTCGAATCTGGACGTTTAGGTTTCTGCTCCTTTACTGCAATCTTGCCAGATCTTGCCGGCATTCTCTTGTCCACCTCACTGTCCTTACAACGATGCGAAGTGGAGCCTTGACAATGACAAAGGGCATCGTCATGCACAAGTGGTGTCCTCCGCGCACGTCTGACACGCTTTGGGCTCAAGAGAAGGACATGGACCATCGTTTTACTGATAGAAAAACGAGTTGTAGAGGTTCCGATCCTGCAATATCCTGCACAGAGTTTTGGCCAAGAGTCAAGGATATTATTACGCATCAGAAAGCATTGATCGCTCACAGACTTGTTGGTTTCAAGGGTTCTCCACCATGTTCAACCACCTATTCCCAAACCATCAAAACTTTTAAGTAACAGATCAATACATTGATGGCCTGCCAGATGTTTCCAACTGTCACAACTTGCCTTGGAGGGTCAGCTGCCTCGATGGACTGCAGCTGAGGCGACAAGGGAAGGCGTTGCTGAGATGGCTGGTTGGAGCCAGGATTGGTTGGGAATGAATATGCCCTGGCTCCCAGACCCACATGGAACCAGAAAATCATCGAACTCCCACATGGTTTGTGGAGGATGGAAAGCTAGTTGTGCCATGACGTCACTTGTCTCAGGTTCCATGATGTTCCATAAGTGTGCCCACGAGAGAGTCTTGAACTTGGCACCTGCATGGGCTGATCATAGCTGATCTGCGGATTTTCATTGACCGCGGCACGTCATAGATTTCACAATGAGGCCATTGAACTTCAAGGTCTGGGTGTTCAAACCTAGCTAAGCTGAAAACCATACACAGTCACACAGTCATACCCAGAGCTACACTACTTCAGCGGCATCCTCCCAGACATTCTTCCAAAGTAGCTCCTCCCAGTGAGTTACAACACAAACGCTTAACTTAGAGTTTTGCCCACGTCTTCTACATTCCCCCACTTCCTGAGTGCCTTTTTTGTATAGCATGCTATAGCTCCCAGTGTACCACATGGGTGCCATGAGCCTCCCATGCCACGCCGCTGGTGGATCACACACCAAGTGGCTCCGCTGGTCACTTGGCGGAGCCCGACCAACGAGGTCCGGGAGGTGATAAACAGGAGCTATACTAGTTACTAGTAGCTTCTTGTTCCGTTCGTAGCGACGCCATTTGTTCCCAGTAGCTTCTACAATCTGCCATAGATTGCAAGAAAGGCATGGCTTTGCGTGAGTGTTGGGTGATTTTTTGCTTCTTTTTAGACCTGTGCGGTCTATACATGTGCTTCTAAAAGGATGCATTCTTTTTCCAACCGTTTTTTCCCAGTCCCTTAAGCAATAATGGCTAAGATTGGCGATAGGCATATATTGGAATGACTAATTGTTTCTAAATCTCAAGCAGAGAGGAGCTGACGGCCACCGAGCTGAATTTGGATTGCTCGGAGCTTTCGGGTGGAAGGTGACAGACCTGTCAGAAAGGATGCCCAGACCTTCTCGGGTTCGATGCGACTGGACTGACCCTCCTGGCACTGTCCTACATCAAAGAGTGTCCAATCATCATAAAGAGGGCGGCAGTGCATTCATAGGGGAGGATAATACCTGCATGAAGACACCTAGAGGAAGATCACAAAGTGGGAACAAACCATGATATGCTAGAAATACCCTGCGATTGGGGCGGTGCCCGCGGCGGCGCGGTTGATGGATGTTTATGCGGGTGGGGCAGTTGCCTTGCAGCCCTTGTTCTCCGCACAGACGAGGTATGCCTCATGCTTGTGTTCCTCTCATCGGCGAGGCCTGCGCTTTTGACGAAGCCTCATCACGTTCCGTCCACAGTCTCAAAACACTGCACGGAGCAGCACAAGCAGCATGTGGTCCTTCCCTGGGCATTTCGCCGACTAAAAGGATCTAAAAGGCCTGAGTGAATCGCGCATGAAGGAACAAACCATTGAGACTTGTATTTGTGCACCTTGAAAGCCAGGCCTGGCCGCGTGGCAAGCCCCGGGGTTGGTGGTTCGATGGAGGTGCCAGATGTGCGATTCCGTGGCTGGAGAGTGCAGCAGTGCACACCATTGCACACCGACATTTACCGGTTCAGAGATGCAAAAAGTTGGCTCCTGGCAAACGAACATGTTAAAACCCTGTCAGATGTGCCGTGAATTTGTGGGGGGGATCATGTATGGAGGATTATTGCAGCCAAGTCTTTTTATGAACAAGCCATTATCGGCAAACCGGAACTGACCAATCATGAAGCATATCCACGTGCATGTGCATCGTATCCTTGGTGTTTTCGCAGAGCCTCAACCACTCAGTGCAGGTCGCTCCAGAACGGCGGAAACGGCGGAAACGATGGACGCCCCAAACTCCCGACGAGCGCTTGATGTGGGCTTTGGGCCACTTGGTGACTGGCCATGCCGGTTTTTCGGTCCGGGCCGTGGTGGCGGGCTGCCAAGAAACAGGTGTGGTGTCATTGATCCACCAACGAGAAGTACGAAAGCTTTCGGAAAATCATTGGATTCCCAGTTCAGTCCGTTTTGGAGGTAATTATACCGTATACCTGAGCTGAAGGATGTTGAAGCTATGAGGCTTGTCATGGGAGCCCAGCGGCCTGAATTTCTACAGTAACTACTAACTATACTTTGGTTCCTGCCTGAGGGGGTTGCTAGAATTGAGGGCTTTTTTGGCATGCAACCAACGAAAAGTGCAATCCTGGGACTCCTTGGCTTCACTGAGATTACAATCTATGCACCACCCAATGGGTCTATCAATCATGTTTCTCTAACTCCCTCTCAACCAATATCAAGGATGCTCCAGTTTTCATTAGGTTGGAGGCCATCGCTAGTAGGTTGGAGGCCACCTTCCCACTCCTTTGGATCATGTTTCCTCAGGCTGCGAGCTTTGGCTCGCCGGCCGCGACGTGGCCTTGGCCTCACGCAGCGTCCTCCGCGGCGAAATCGGCGCCACCGCGGCGCCCGCGGCGCCCGCCCCGCGCGGCGGCACGAGGCGTGGTGATGGGGCGGTTGAGGCCACTGGGAGAGGTTGAGCGTTTCGGCTTTCGACCACAAATCCGGGTCGGATGGGTCGCGGAAGCTTCACCTCGTTTGAAGAAGTCATTTGAGTGCAGCAAGCCCTCAATTGTTTTTTGATTATTCGGAAGCTCTGAAGGCAGATTCCTTTGTTGGGGTCTACTGCTCCACTTGTGTCTTCGATTCACCGGTCGGTGGGCTTCTCCGTCGCATCGATTGTGCTCCGTCACCCGGAAGGTCTCACCTGCCGACAGTCCTGCAGGAAGGAGGCAGCGCCTTGCAGGATGGATGATCCGCTTGGTCGCATTTCTCGGTGAGGTAGTTCACAGTCCGTTCCATTTCTGAATAGGTGTCAAGTAGAACATACTTAGTAGAACCAGCCGCTCCTTATAATGGACCCTTCTGATATTTAATCTTCAGGTTGTAACATATGGTGAGTTGAAGTTGGGATGTTGCATTTCCCGTTGCACACTGGTTTGACCGTTAATGGTGATTCAGTTTTTTTTGACTGGCCGAATCCAGCTTGATACCCTCCCAAGGTCATCCCTTCCAAATACACCTCCCAACCTCCCTGCACTAACCCTGAATGGGTCAGGCGTTCCAATTTTGGTGCCGCGGTGTTGCCACGGTGCCAGACACGGGGCCGACACGAGTGTTGCCAGGAGGCTGGTGCAGCCTTTCTGGACGCACGCTGGAGCTCTGCCATGGTGCAGCTGGAACGAGTAGCCCAGACCAGCCAGGAGTATTGGCCCAGCAGAGGCCAGGGGCTTGGACCCGCGCCAGGAGGATCTTTCGAAGGAACTGCTATAGGTCCCTCAGACACTTGGCTGGAAAGCTCAGGTTCACTCGCTCGAGGGTATCAAGTAAGATCAAGTAAGTAAAGAACATTATCATGTTGCTTGCCCTCCTGGTACTGTTTCTTAGGGAATGTTCTCATGTGTCTTATCATGTCATCATGGGTTTGCTTTTGACATTCTTTCTATTTATTATGATTTGTTCAGATTGTTGTCCAATATCGGCAGAGCGTGACTTGAAGCCAAAGAATGGAAAACATAGGACTCACCCAGCCCTGGGCATTGCACTACACGAGGCTTTCACTTGTGCTGCTGATGTCGCCGGCTTCCGCAGCCCCACAATGCAGAATCAGACCAGGGCGGTTCTGATGATTCTGATCTAAACGGTGTGAACCGTTCTAGACCCGACATGGCTGCAAAACTCGACCCTCCCTTGGTGCACCGTCCCTTGGACAACTGGATGTACTGAGCTCATTCTCGAATTGTTTTTATGGACAGTGCAGGCCCTTGGCGTATTGGACTTCCCAGACCCTCCCAGCCTTGGAGGCTTCGACGACCTCATTGCCTTGGTCTTCGCCACGTCGTTGCGGCGCGGATCCGTCAGCCCAGCGCGGTCGCCAGCGGACTCCTTAGAACATCTGGCACAAGGCGCCGTAGGGGGCCAGAGGCACCTGGGGTTGTTACCATGATGTTTAAAATGTGGCTCACACTCCCTGAAACATACTCTATGTGGATGGCCTGGCCCCGAAAGGATTCTGACATCTGAAGATCAAACAGATGCTTTTTGTTCCACTTGGATGATTTCAAGGAGTGGAGTGTGGTGCACCAGAAGGATCATCTACACTGTTGCTGTTTGGTCGATGTGTTTCTGCCGCCGTCAGGCTTGGATGCGTGGGCCTCTGGTGGCCGTTGGGTTGTGATGGCGGTAACCGGCGAACGGTGACAGTCATTGAGCGAATGAAAGGGTGGACTGCAACGATGTGCAACGACTGGGCTTCTTTAAACACGGTATAGGCCATTTTTTTGGGCTATAGGTGTATCTAGTTTTATGACAGCATGTAAGCGATGCATCATATTATACACAAATTGGTGCTTTTTTGGTGTGGTGTGTTTTTTTGCAGCAGTTGCCGCATCCCATTTGTGTGGCCCATACCTCCACCGCCCGCCCAACCACCCAACCACGATCACTGCAAGGTGGCGATCGAAGACATTGACCACAACTGCCAGATTCAGCAGCTCGACAGTGGCGGGTGGTGGATGGCACCATGTTTCAGAGGTGTTGGAGGGTCAACACGGTCAACACCCATGTAAACACTAGCTGTAACTGGGAGATCATCTGAGTGTTCTTCAGGTCTGCTTCAACCTGTGAGAAACACAAAACTGTAACAGTAACTGTAACTGGTGGGGGGTGTCACCTATACCCTCGATCTAGGTATCTCAACCCGAAGTTTGGGTGGCTGGCATTGTGTGTTCAACGCTCAGTCGGCACACGTATGCCGCATGGTCCGGGGTGTTTGTTCATTGTGTACCATTTGGCTAAATGACTTCGAAGCTACCCTCCCAACCAGGGCCCACGGATTCACTTGGCCTTTGCTATGGCAACAAACGCTTCTAGGCTGCAGGCTCTTGATTAATAACCTCCCTCATTTGAATGGAAACACCATATGAAGAGGGTTATTTACAGCCTTCGGCATGCCGCCGGCCATCAGCTCGAGCCCGCACGGCTGGTCGCCATGGCCCGGGCGTGTGTAGCTGTGTGTAGCTATTGTGTTTTTTTTTGTGTGCAGGTTATGCAAAGGTTAGCTAACAGAGTGTACGATATCAAAGTGCGTGAAAACAAGGGGTTTGTGCGCGACATGACTTGGAACATGCATGCTGGCTGGAGATGTTTGTGTCAATGAGGTGCGGCGTCAAAACGAAGTAGTGTAAGAGCCATGTAAGTGGAGAGCAACTGGCCAAAAACAAAAGCTGCGCTGGTGTAAAAGCGAGTGGGCAGCGAACAGTACTTGCAGAGAGCGCGTGTGTAACACAGAGCTTCTGCAAAAGCGACATGTAAGCGAAAAAAAAGTAGCGAGGAAATGATTGCAAGGGGCTTGTGCGCGACATGACTTGGAAGGTGCACAGGTTGCGGTGTCAGAACGAAGTCGTGTAAGAGCCATTTCCTAGAATAACGCCGTGACAGTGTAAGCGATATAGAACCCAATTGGCAGCGAGTTCCCGCAAAACGCGTGGAAAAAACCAAGGTTTTTATACGTTTTTCTACACGCGCGACTGTGCGCCAATGCATGGCCTGCTTGAAAAAGACGAAGAGGGGGAAGAGAAGAGAAGGAGAACGAGAACGAAAAGAGAAGAGAAGCGAAGACAAGAGACGAGACAAGGCGACAAGACAAGACAAGGCGAGAGGGGGGTAGGAGCGCCTCAACATTAAAAGACGAAAAATGAGTTGGGAAGATG